GGTTGCAGGTCTGTCTAACTTGCAAGTGCGGGTTGGGGCTCTGCCCCTCTTCCAACAGGGKTGATGTGTCTACCATGCTGGTGGGACGCTGGGCCCTTTCTGCCAGTGGGTTGCAGGTCCGCYTACCTTGCAGGCATGGTTGGCGGCTCTGCCCCTCCGCAGGCCGCTKGGCCTGTCCTGTCGGTGGTCGCAGTTCCACCTACCTTGCAGGCGCRGGGGGTGGCTCTGYCCCTCCGCTGGCTGCTGGTCCTGTTCTGCTGGTGGGTCGCAGGTCCGCCTACCTTGCAGGCGCAGGGGGCGGCTCTAAATTTTGTTCTTTATAATCAGTGACATCATTGGGTCAGTGAGCACAGGTACAGGTGAGGGGCAGTGAGGGCTGGCAAGTTTGAGAAGTGAGGCAAGCTCTTTCACCAGAGAAGGAGTTGAAGGCAGTGCTGATATTTTAAGCTTGATATGCACTCCAATGTTTATATAAAAAGAAATCTTTGATTGGTTTTAAAACTCTTGTTACTGTTTTGCKTAAGCTGTCAATAGGAGAATCAATCAGAAACTATTCAATATCTTTCCAATTATTCCTTAATAAGACTCAAGTTTTGAAGTTACTTGTGATCCAAGTCTTATCTGTATTCATAACAAACTCATTCATTTTCTTTCCCAGAGGTCATCAGTGAGTTTTATTTGATTGATCGTATAGGCTGTTTTGGTTATCAATTTTTATTTTCTGTTGAGTTAGCCTATTGTTATTGCAAAATCTTGAGATTCTGAAAAGACTTAGGCCTTCTCTCCCTCTGAGAATGTGGCTCATAGGGAGAGATTTGTCTGGCGTGTGTAAAGCCCTGGGTTTGATTCCCAGCATGACCAAAAAAAAAAAAAAAAGAAAAGAAAAAAGAAAGGAAAAGATAGCTCTATAGCTCCACAGTTTGCCTTTATTGGTGCCTTCTTTGTATTTTTTCTAGAAAGATTGTTACCTAACGATAGGTTGTTTTGGAGAACCATTCCTTGTTCTTATGTTCTGTACAAGCATGTACATATTTGTACTTGATATATTTCTTTTTCTTTTTTTTTTTTTGGTAGTGCTTGGGATCAAACTCAGGGCCTTGCACATGCAATGCAAGCACTCTACTCCTGAACTATACCTCCAAATTGACATACATTATTAGTCTTCTAATTTAGAATTTTAAAAAATTCTCATGCTATTCATATAGTCTACATTGAAATTGGGAGTATACAAATATGTATAATGGTCTCCAGATTTGCCCTCTTGAAATATTTTGAGAAAAATTGTGCAGTTTATAGGAATGGGACAATTACTGAATTCTAAGAACTTGGTTAACGCTTTGGGTAGATTGAAGTCAAGCTGCCAGGTACTTGAATTCTAACTCCTGTGACCTTGGATCAGTCACAACCCTCTGTGTCTTAGTGCTTCTATCCTTAAAATGGAAATAACAGTATCTAACACTTGGGTTCTAAGAATTCAGATACTGTATGTAAAAGTGTGTAGCAGCATTCCTGGCACAAGGCATATTTGATGAATGTTAGCTGCTGTTTTTTTTTTTTTAATTAATAAGATGTTACTTTAAGGATGAAACCTATTGATTAAGTTAAAAAAAAAGAAAGAAAGAAAGACAAATTAACTCCTAGTGAATGAACTTTAGTTATAAGGTAGAAAGCTATCTTCTAACTCAATGCTTTTATGAAATCCCCTAAGTTACTTGAGCATTCTTTCGAAGTKCTGACATAAGCTCTGTGAAAGTAGTGGTTTATGTCTTTTGTCCACTCCTTTTTCCCTAAGTAATATCCGACTCGAATTAAGTACTCAATAACTATTTTTTGAATGAATGAAAAAGAGCCAGTGGCTCTTATAAGCTACAAACATTTTATCTTACAGACCAAAGTATATATAAGTTATTCTAGTGTGTAATAATTTTTTTTAAAGAAAGAGAGAAGAGAGAGAGAGGGAGAGAGAGAATTTTAATATTTATTTTTTAGTTTTTGGCAGACACAACATCTTTGTT